TTTTTTTTTGGTTGTATGGTCAAATTTTGTTATGGGAATGGGGAAGTAGAACCGGTTTTTGAGTCACTGATCATGGGAGATATATTTTGGAAAGGATGAGCAAGTATTGGGTTTTGGTAAAATTATGTGCTGTTCTAGATGACACATCCATAAAGAATAACACTTTAGCTGGTGTAGCAATTCATCGGTGATTATAATCGGAAAATTTCACGGATAACATTTTTCAATTTGGCTTGCTTGGACAGAAAGCTGTGTAGTTTGAAAAGATTGAAAGTCTGAAATGTCCCTATGAAGTCTTTGGCTTCAGTTTCAAAATTTATTGGCTTTTCATAACTCTGCAAGCAAAACAGAAATATTTGTTTTGCTATATTTTTACTTGTTATATTGATAGGATAACTAAATTTTGCCCATTTTTCTTCTTTTTGTACATGCTGGTATGTATGCAGTGCAGGCATATTGAGAAATCCTGTTGTTCTGTTTTGAAAGTTCAAATTTTGAGTGGCATTGTTTGTCATGGTTGTGAGCCTTTAGTAGCTAACATGTCTTTCTTATTTACAGGACAAAAATGGGAAACGGATACAATGCTCTTGCCCTAATTCTCTTCCTTACAAACCTCTCCTTTTCGCTTGCCTTTGCCGAACCGAATGACGGGTTGTTGCGGATAGGTTTGAAAAGGATGAAGATGGACAAAAACAACCGGATTGCTTCTCAGCTTGAATCTAAGGAGGCACAGACGCTGAGAGCCTCCTTTAGGAAGTATAACTTCCGTGGTAAACTTGGAGATGATGCAGATACTGACATTGTTGCACTTAAGAAATACATGGATGCACAGTACTTTGGAGAGATTGGCATTGGCACTCCGCCTCAGAAATTTACCGTGATTTTTGATACCGGCAGCTCCAATCTGTGGGTGCCGTCCGCTAAGTGTTTGTTTTCTGTAAGTCTTGACTTGATCATTTTTTTGTCTTTGTTTGATGGTTGGAATTGATATAGACTTGGTGAATTTCGGTGTAGGTCCCTTGTTACTTCCACTCCAAGTACAAGTCCAGCCATTCGAGCACTTACAAAAAAAATGGTTTGTTGTAGTCTTATTAGACCTGTTGGTGCTTTTTTTTTTTTTGTTTATTTCCTCAGTTGAGAATCTCAACTGTTAGGAACGATGAGGATTCGTTGTTAAGATGTGTACAAAAACTCCCTGCCTGAGTGTGTTTTTGCAACTTTGGGACTGATTGTTTCTTGCTACTTGTAAATTAGTATTGCATTTGGGTATTTCCACTTGTGCGTAATCCCCTGCACAGTGTGTGCTTCCCAACTGATATGAATTAGCTATGTTGTCAAAAAGGTCTTCCTATACTCCCAACCTGCTCCTTCTTTTCCCCTTTCCTTTTTGGAAAAAATAAAAGTTTTATCCACTTGTGGATATTATTATTGTGTTCACGATTTCAGCAAGATATTTGAAATATTGATAACTATTGATATTCCTTCGTGTATGGTTTGAGAATAATGCAATCTGTTTCATAGATGAACGTATCGTCTGAAACAATTTCATTTATAAGGAAAATCTGCTGCAATTCATTATGGAACTGGGGCAATCTCTGGATTCTTCAGTGAGGATAACGTGGAAGTGGGTGACCTTGTTGTGGAGGAGGAGTAGGAACTAACTTGTGGATATTATTATTGTGTTCACGATTTCAGCAAGATATTTGAAATAATGATAACTATTGATATTCCTTCGTGTATGCTTTGAGAATAATGCAATCTGTTTCATAGATGAACGTATCGTCTGAAACAATTTCATTTATAAGGAAAATCTGCTGCAATTCATTATGGAAGTGGGGCAATCTCTGGATTCTTCAGTGAGGATAACGTGAAAGTGGGTGACCTGGTTGTGGAGGGCCAGGTTGTTTTCTCTCCCTTTAATTTTATGCTTTCACAATGAATAATGTCTGGCATCTTACACATAATGCTGACTTGGCCAGGAATTTATCGAGGCAACCAGGGAACCAAGTGTTACATTTTTGGTGGCCAAGTTCGACGGTATACTGGGTCTTGGGTTCAAAGAGATCTCAGTTGGAAAGGCAACCCCAGTATGGTATGAGCTGTATCTCATTATCTTTATCTCTCTCTTTCCCTTTCTTTTCTTTTCTTTTATTTTCTTTTTTTTTTTGGGTTCTTTTACATCTTTGGTAGTGAGGGTGAAGGATTGTCATTTGCATTTTCATTTGAGCTGTCGGCAAAATAATCCATTGTTTTTTTCAGGTACAACATGGTCAAACAAGGTCTTGTCAAGGAGCCTGTGTTCTCATTTTGGCTAAACCGAAATGTGGATGAAGAAGAGGGTGGCGAAATTGTTTTCGGTGGTGTTGATCCAAATCATTTCAAGGGTGAGCATACATATGTACCCGTGACCCAGAAAGGCTACTGGCAGGTTAGTATCCAACACAGTATATTAAATATTTGTATCTCATTTTAACTGTGTTTGGTTCTGTTTACAGTTTGATATGGGTGATGTACTTATCGATGGCAGAGAAAGTGGTATGTATTTGTTTCAGTTCTTCAAAGTTGCTACATCTACTATGCTAGATAGAACTGTAAGTGATCTGATATTCCCCTGCAGTATGATATTGTATGGTGATGTAGTCTATTTCCGTCATTGTGGTTCTTAGGATACTGCAGTGGTGGATGTTCAGCAATTGCCGACTCTGGGACTTCTCTGTTAGCAGGACCCACTGTATGTTTTTGTCTCTTCTGGAAAGCATCTCCGGATGTTTTCCTTTTCTCTGTGTCATGAGTTTTTAGACAACTCCACGCAGTTGGAAATATTAATTTTCCTACTTACTCAGATATTGCATGTAAAATATCATATGAGTTGAATCTGTTTGAAAACCATGTACCGGCAAGCAAGTAGTCCTCACCATTTCAATTCTCCCATTCTTGTTATGCTTCTAAATTGTTTTTTTGTACTTTTATAGACAGTAGTGGCTATGATTAACCATGCTATTGGTGCCACTGGAGTTGTGAGCCAAGAATGCAAGGCTGTTGTTCAACAATATGGGCAAACTATCATGGATCTCCTATTGGCTGAGGTGATCATTTGTTCATCAATTTTAAAAGTGCAATTGTGTGGGTGTGTGTGCGTTTTAAACTTCTTTATTATATAAATGCTAATCAACAGTTGGATTTTACAGGCTCAGCCAAAAAAGATATGCTCCCAAATTGGGTTATGCACCTTTGATGGAGCTCATGGTGTCAGGTTAGTTAAAAAATGATGAGGATATGTTTTTTCCCGACCTCATTTAAGATGCTTTGGTTCTTATTTTGCTTCCTATAATGTTGGTTTAATGTAGTGCGGGAATACAAAGCGTGGTGGATGAGAAAGAGGGTAGATCATCCGGATTGGGTGATGGCATGTGCTCGGCATGTGAGATGGCCGTTGTGTGGATGCAGAATCAGCTCAGGCAGAATCAGACTCAAGATCGCATCTTGAACTATGTCAACGAGGTAAAGGGTACTTATGGTTTATTATTTTGTTGCTAGCTAATAAGTGGGCTGCTGATCATTTTGTATACTCACAAGTGCGAAATAAGAAATACTTTTGTGTCACGTCTAAAATTGGGCTTTTGCTTGTGCAGCTCTGTGAACGTCTCCCTAGCCCAATGGGTGAATCGGGTGTCGACTGTGGAAGCATTTCCTCTATGCCAACTGTTTCCTTGACGATTGGTGGCAAGATTTTTGATCTCTCCCCAAAAGAGGTATTATATTGGCTTTGAATTAACAACTCTGCAAATTTCTATGATTAAATATTTATTATCAATGGTGGTGATTTTTTTTCCTTTCTTTTTTTGGTGCTTGTCAACAGTACATACTTAAGGTGGGGGAAGGTGCTGCTGCGCAATGCATTAGCGGCTTCACGGGCCTTGATATACCTCCTCCACGTGGGCCCCTCTGGTAAATGCTCGCCTTGATATATATATATATATACATATATATATATATATATATATATATATATATATTGTTTCTGTTCCTCTTGGTGATTGGTTTTGTATTGGGTGTGAATGGTGATGATGCGTGCAGGATATTGGGAGATATATTTATGGGTCGGTACCACACCGTGTTTGATTATGGCAAACTTAGGGTCGGTTTTGCCGAAGCTGCTTAGAATGGAGGGGCGACCCCACGCTGGAGCTGCTTAGTGTCTTATTAACATTTAATGCTGATGTTTTATGATAAGCAAGACAGTTGGGGCACTTTATGACTTTTCTGAGGCTGCTTCCAACAATGCAAATATGTAAATATATGATGCAACTCTGTTTTAAACTTCTTTGGGACATTTTGCTGTGTGGTTGGGAGAATGGTTGGTAGTAAGATTGTGAAATATTGTCTAAACTTTGAGGCAGAGATACTCTTTACCATATGTAAATGTTGTTAAATAACATTTTGCCTGTGTGTTTCACGCCTTGCCGGGCAATGACGTTGGATTGGCAGCCGTTTGTTTTTTTTTTTTAAAATATATTTACAAAATAGTAATTAAGTTCTGAATAAGGACACACATTACATATGTGTGTCCTAATAATATGAACAGACTTCACAAGCCATATTGTTTAAACACAAGAAGTACATGAAGAGGTGAACATTTAGTCGGAATGAAAAGCAATAAACTCGGAAACGAAAAGATAAATTAGTCCAGTAAACTCGGAACGAAAAGCATGGAACTCTTCAAAGATTTGGGGGGCACACTTTTAACTAGAAGTATTAAGTATATGAAGATGTGAGCATTTGAAATGTGGTGGTTTACCTACCATTACTACCTATCTGAAAATAGAAATAACCCAAAATCAGTGCAAACACCACACATTAAGCTCTATTCTGATGTACTACCCAAATCAGTATTACTGGAAAGTTCTTAGTTGTATTTGTAATGGCCAACAGTAAATGTACCAGCCTTCAGTTATAAGAAATTTTATCACACAACAACACAGATTTTCTTTATTTAATTTTCTTTTCTTCCAAAACTTTCCTTTTCTTTGGACACTGAGTCACACATCCTTCATATGGATGGTATAAATATAACACAGCCCAAAAACCAAGAATGAGAGAAGACTTACAATCCTTACATAAATTTCTTGCTCTCGGAAAACGACATTTTCCGGTCTAATGATTGCAACTGGCTGCGGAGGCTCTGATTTTCCTCGAGCAGCCGGTCGTACTCGAGAAGAAACCCTTCCGACTGCTTTTTTAGAGCGATTGCATTTGTCTCGGCACTGTTTACCTCTTTAGACTTCTCTTGAAGCTCTGTCTCGAGCTGCTTAATCCTTTCACCCGATTTAACCAATTCCTCTTCTAATGCTTTTACTACTGCAGTAAGTTGGGGTTTGCTGTCCTCCAACACCCGGTTTTGTTTCTTCACGGCTTCCATGGTCTTCCTTCTTATGCGCAGTTCTCGAATGTAATGGTGCAGCCTGTCAATCATCAACGCAAGGAATAGCGAAAATCCTGAGGAAAAAAGAATTGAAAATTGATAAAAATTAAAAAAAAAAAAAGATGTATTTGACTACTCAATGTAAGAACAATGAATGAACATGGATGCACAATGAAGCAAAGATAAATATGATGATGACCAAACAAAGCAAACGAGTTATATCCTTATTCAAGCCTAGATTGGTAACACAGAGAAATACCTTAAAATACTCGGAATGACAAAAATCAGTCCCCGTACAAAATTACAAACATCGTAAGAGCTGAAACATATATTTGAGCAAGTAATTTGATAAACATATGAACCAACAATGACGAAAGAAGTTACCTTCTTTGGCATTAACTCATCGTCTGATAGAACAAATGAATGGAATGCCCAAAATATCCTATCAATGCATTATGCTTTTGATTTTCTTAGATTTGAAGTTTTGAACTAATTCACTAGTGCCACACCAAGTTCCCATAAGTCTACGCACAATCATGTAGTCTATCACACATAAATGGTAAACAGTACAAACTGGAGTAGACATTTTTCAGTAGCAATATAATCCTAGAAAACTCAATTTTTCATTCATAAAAAATAAAAGAATAAAAAATTGATTATGTGAATTGAGAAACAACCGTAAGTTAAATGGATCAGGTTCTGCGAGGCATCCATGTTACAGAACACGTTCACAGCCTTTTATTACTCACACAACCTAAGTTCCACTAGCCGACTAGGTCCTATTTATTAAATCGTAGCTATCCATTCAAGACACGGTGTGAAATTGTTTTTGTTTTGAAAGTATACGAGACTCCTCAGATAAATCCATATACACCTTCAATGATTAAGCTATAGAACACGACATCTACGTGCAAACCAGAAAAAGATGCCATTAGTAATGAGAGTTCTTTTTAGATCCATTTAGATCAGAACTCCAGAAGACTGAGAAACAAAAAAATGGATACTAACAGTAACACACACCACACAGAAATTAACAAAGGTTATCTATTTCCATTCTCGAAAAACAGACTACCTCTCGCACTGCACTTTGACATGGCACAATGGATGCTAATAGTTTATGATTAACTAATTCATCTACTTCAATAGGAGAAAAAATGACAGAATCTCCTAAAAAAACTTTTCCAGAGGAAGCCGATAATAAATCAGAAATGCCGCTTAAAAGCACCAAATATAGATCCATAGCCTCGCTGTATTTCGTTATAAACGAATACTTGATTCCAAAAGAATCTTCCAATCAATGAAACTAATGCATCACAGGTACAATGCCAATGAGTTCATACAATTTCACCACAACATCAACACACCGCACAACACTAATCAGAACAAACAAATACAATTATGCGCCCACTGGAAAGAAAATAAAAATAAATAAGAGATGAGATTTTTCGAACGATTACCCATGAGAGAAGCTTCAAGAAGATGCTTAGCGAGGAGAATCTGATCCGTCGGGTTGACCTCACCTTCCTGGACCCAACGCCTCCTGATCGCCACCACATTGTACACGGCAGCCAGCATGACCACAAAGACCGTCGCCGCCACCGTCTTGACGACGATTGGGCCCCGCCCGCGCTTGACCCGGTCCAGGCCCATTATAACCAGCTTTCTCAGCGGCGTCTTGAACACGAACACCAAAATCAGCGCCATCTCCGCGAAATTTAGGGCAAACAGTAACTGAATCATCTTTTACCTTCTTCACTTTCAGTTATTCCCTTCGCCGGTGACAGAGTCTTTCAGAGCTTGCAATTGGAGCTGCCGATGCGAGCTTAAAAATGGGGGTCACGTTTATGGGGGAAAAGTGGGGACTGCCGTCTAACATTTGAACTGTGAATTGATTTAAATTATTGTATTTTAAAATTAAGGACTTTGAAATATATTTATTTGCACACAGATCCCATGGGTGGTGTGCCAGTGTTACCGACATGCCGGATGCCAAAAATTAAAATTAAAATTACCCTTATATATTAATTCAGAACGTGATGAGTCGAAGTGGAAGACTCGCATGTTTCGTGAACTTATGTAACAAAATTATATACTTCGTTAGTTATTTGATTTTGGGTAGATTTAAATTTACTTCCAATCAAAAAATAATTAAGTCAGAATTATCTATATATATGTTGATTATTTATGATTATGTTACATGTATTAATTGTATTTTAATATCATTTCTTATTATAACTATTAATTTGGAAATATATTTTAAAAATTAATAACTTTTGTAGTTTTTATCAGTTTTACTTCTATAATATATGAAATTAATCATCTCTTGATGATCTTCGATTTAACATCCATATTGTATGTATAAAAAAAATAAATTATATTTATATATATAATAATAATAAAATTATTTTTTAATATTAACTAGAAAAAAAAAATTATTTATCAATTAATATATTTATAATTCAAGTAGTTATATGATATAAGTAATAAAAACTACTATAATATAACACATGAAAGTTGCACAAGCGACAAGTGTCATTATAAAATATATAATAATATATATATTTTTTTTTTAAAAAGTAAATAAAATTTAAAATAATTTTCTCATTAATTTTAAAATTTAAAAAAAAAATAAAAATTAACAAGCAACCGTGTAATACACCAGAGTTGTACTAGTTTAATTTAAAACATAAAAAGTGAAATTATTATCAAGTAAATTAAACCTGTTGATTGATATTAATTAATTCAGTTATTACATGTATCAAATTGTATTGAGAGCTCATTTCTCTCGTCTGAAAGCGTTTTTCCTCATTTGAGTGGCTATTTGGGTGGATTTTTCCTGTTTTCCATTCTTTCCTTTTGGAGATCGATGAACGACAAAGTATTAGGCGGGGAGCCGAGGGTAAA